GTTATGAAAATAAATTACTTCACAGTCACACGCACACACACACACACACGTTCCACACATATATTACACAAAGATACATCCACACACGTACACACACACACACAAAGAATTCTAAAGTAATTTTATTACAGAACATCACCGTATTGTATTATTTTCAAGCATTATTTCACGCTAAGAAAATTTGCATTACAAATTACGCATTGATAGATTACATCATGCCAACAAATCACATTATTATATTACACTAACAGATTACACTAACAGATTACACTTACAGATTACATTAACTTATTACACTTACATCTGTACTAACATATTACATTAACTGATTACTGATTACATCTTACACTTACAGATTACAATAACAGATTACACTTACAAATTACACTTACAGATTACACTTACAAATTACACTTACAGATTACACTAGCAGATTACACTAACATATTACACTAACAGATTACACTTACAGATTACAATAACAGATTACATAATCTGATTACACTTACAAGTTACACTTACAGATTACATTAACAGATTACACTAACAGATTACACTTACAGATTACACTCACAGATTACACTTACAGATTACACTAACAGATTACACCAACAGATTACACTAACATATTACACTAACAGATTACACTTACAAATTACACTAGCGAATTACACTTACAGATTACAATAACAGATTACACTCACAGATTACATTAGCAGATTACAATAACAGATTACACTTACAGATTACATTAATAGATTACACTAACAGATTACACTAATGGATTACATCATCGAAACCTCAAATTTCCTTCGCTTTAATACAAAATAACTTTCATTACCATTTTTTACACGACATTACGCTACATTACGCTATACATTTATTTTATTTCGTGACATTACATTGAAATTTGTTGCATTCTATCAATTTTTTATTGCATTGCTTTACATTACGGGCTGCAAATTGGTGTAATGGCAGTTGCTATCTGTGTAGGTTTGCACTGGAGTTACAGG